CCCTGGGCAAAGTATATTCATACGGCAACAAAGTCTATTAATGGGCAGTTGACCTCTGACTTCAAACTGACATGATCCCACTGTATGCCATATTCGACTACTTTCACAGTACTCACCTCACCCTTTTTTCTACCTTCGTCTTTGAAGCACTCTTCTGTCCCCCCCCCCTTCTCGACTTTTTTCCACTTTGATGTTCCTTCCCCTCTGTGAAGCCTGAAGTCAACTAAAGGGCTAATGATAACTATCAGAACGCCTGCCATTTGATATAAATAAATAAATCTTTCAAATTAGACCAATGTCTGCCTTTTGCACCAATTTGGTTTGGGAAAAAATGTGAATATCTTGCAATTTATATGAATTAATTTTGTTGCGATAAGCTTTCATCTTCTAAAACGCCCTTTATTATGTGCAGCTAATAATAAATAAATAATATTATAGCACATGGGGTGTGCGATAGACTTACCTCCACGTGGTCTAAAAACCGGTAGTTGACTTCTAACTTCAAACTGCCCTCACCCCACTGTATGTCATATTCGATCACTTCCACAGCACTCACCTTACGTTCATCTCTACCATAGCGTCTCTCTTACACCTGTGAATCACTCTTCTGTTCCCACACTCAACATTTTGTGACTTTGGTATTCCTCCCCTCTACCAAGACCGAAGTCAACTAAAGGGTTAGTGATAACTATCTAAAGCCTACAATTTGGTATAAATTTTAAATTATAAGAATAATTTAAATTTCATTGGAGAATATTCAGTTAACATATGATTTGAAACTTTTTAGAATAGTGTGCAAAAACCGAATAGAAATCTTGATACTGGCCAATAATAGCAGAAATAATTTTCTTTAATTGAAAATAGGTCTTTTGATCTGAATTCGCGAAATTTTGAGGCCACTTTTGATGAATCTCAACAGTTTATAATAATATCAAACGAACACACTTTTAAATACTTCGAATTTCCATCAAGTAGATCAGAAATATGCAGCAAATTGCTCACCATACTTGAGAGAAATTTTCTGAGCCCTATTTTTGCTCACTCACAGATTGGCAGGTGTGACACTTACCTCTGCCCTATTCATCAACTATTTGTCAATGATCAATCCAATGCGAAAGCCATCAGGCACCCTGTCGTACCACATTCTGCCCGTTTCTCACAACCAAAATTGCCCTCACCCCGCACTGCCACTCTTTATCTTCTCTACTGATTCAGCTTCCGGATTCCTCCTGTCCCCCCTCCACCCCCTCCCCCCTCCGTTCACAAGCCCATTTCCGATTGTTCAGTATAAACACTGCCCTGCCCAACTCTTAACCTTTTCCTGCCAACTTTAGGTGGGGGGGGGGAGGGTAATTGTAATGCGCTTTTTATTGACATGATCTGCCCAGTACTGGTGTGGGTCTTATAGCCAGGTGCACACATTTAATACTTAGTAAGCCTATCGATTTTTTTCTCTCAGGTTCTATATGCAAATTATAATTGAAATGACCAGACATTTGACTTAAAAGGGGGTGTGCGATAGGCTAACCTCCGCGTGGTGCACAATGGGCAACGTATACTCATACGGCAAAAACGTCTATTAATCGGCAGTTGACTTCTGACTTCAAACTACCATCACCCCACTGTATGTCATATTTGACCGCCTCCACAGTACTCACCTCACCTTTTTCTACCTTTGTGTCTGTTTGCCTCTTTTACGTCTGTGAATCATTATTCTGTCCCCCTCTCGACGTTTTGCCACTTTGATGTTTATCGTCCTTTCTGTGAAGTCTGAAGTCAACTAAAGGACTAATGATACCTATCATAACGCCTGCCATTTGAAATAAATAAATATTGACTAAAAAGAATGCAATATAAATACTACTTCGGGCATTTATATGGACGACCATAACGAAATCACCCATATATTAAGAGGGAAAAAGCGAAACTTTTAGAGGTGAAATTTTGGATACTTAGAACTGGGTACTGTTACTATCAGGGAAAAAAGTTATTGTCTTTAATCTCTTCATGCCAATTGAGCTTTTACTTATATTTAAATGGCCAATTTAAAACCACAGGGAGGAATTTTAAGCTCAACCGGATATCCCGATCACCCTAAATTTTACAGGTGTTTTAAAAATGCCAATCACCCATAAATGAAGCCATCCCCCCCTCTCCCCTCCCCCCTCCCCCCTATTTAGACTTATAATTAAATTCAATTTTAAAATGGGTGGATATCTTACATGGATTCTTCGAGATTTACTTTTAATAGGAGTGGTTTTGAATCCAGCTCCTGAATTTCTGATTTCACTTTGTTTATTTGAGCGAGGAGATCGGCGACTTTCTGCTGACGCTCATTCACCGTCTCCTCCTTTCCCTCGTGGGATATAAGTTTTATTTTACTCAACTCTTCGCGCTAAAATTAAGGAGTTAGCTTTGAAATAAGATGAGTAACTACCATTGATTCAACTTTATTTCTGGAATATTGAAGAATTCTTTGTTGCTTCTCCAAATTTGAGTACATTTCTGTAATAGCTGCCTTTTTTTTCTGATAAGCCTCGATTTTCATGGAATCGAGTTTAGATGAGAGGGAATCCGCTTCGATGTTGGTATCTTGAATTTTTCTAAAGTATTAACCAATCAGATGTAAGATGATTTAATTAATTATTTGGCTTCAACAAATAAATCCTAAAATTATGCATTTGAAGTTGAACATATTGCAGGTATTAAATATTAATAATTAAACATAAATTTACAAAAAGTGATTATTATATAAACTTTGATTCAATATTTAGCTCCTACTTTTTTCTTTCATCCAACCCAAAACGCAAAACTTTCAGGCGAAGTTGTCGATCTTCTTCATCCGATACTTCCAACTGATCATCAGTTTCCTAAAAAGGGAAGAAGTCCTTGAAAAGAAAATGCCTTTTTCTTCGTCTGATATCAAAATTTATCTACTTCTTCGTTCATTTTTTCATGGAGCAGATTCTGATGTTGAGCAATCTCTGATCTAAGGAACTCGCAAAGTTGAGTTTTTGAGTCAAGCAAATACTTCTGGAGATCTTTGTCAATCTCTGGTTTGGTTGTTTTCTGCCAAGAAAAAAAACAAAATATTATGAGCTCTAATACTTTCAAAATTTAATATTTCATCTCAACAATAATTAATTTAATTAATACATTAAAGGCACAATTACTTTGGATTGCATTACGATCAATTTCAAAATTTTCGAATAGAAAATATTACTCGAAATACCTCTTTGAATCGAGTGCAATTTAAATTGCATCTTTTAATAAGAATAAATCACAATGGAAATTAATTTATTTTGTTCTTAAAATTATACAAATATATTCATATATCAAATAAATGCTAATTCTCTCATCAGAAGAAATAAATAATTTAATTTACATTTCCTATTCAACCAATTCAAACTTTCTAAAGAGCACTGAGGGAACAATTTGTTGAGGCTTTGGTGTACTTAAAGGAATTATCAGTACATTTATTCAATCGTTAATAAGCAGGTCAAGACTCGCATGGAAGCAATAAAGTGCCTAAACTGGAACCCTAAAAACTTCAAACTAACGTATTTTGTGACCTTGTGGCATACCTCTGTACCTTTATATTCATTGACTTTTGATGTGCGGTAGACTTACCTCCATGTGGCGCACCCTGGACAACGTATACTCATACGGCAAAAAAAGTTTATTTACCAACAGTTGACTTCTGACTTCAAGCTACCATGATCCCACTGTATGTCATATTCCACCACTTCCACAGTGCTCACCTCACCTTTTTTACTACCTTTGTGTCTGTCTCTTTTGCATCTTTGAAACACTCTTCTGTTTCCCCCCCCCCCGCTCTCGACTTTTGTCACTTTGATGTTCCTCCTCCACTCTGTGAAGCCCGAAGTCAACTAAAGAACTAATGATGACTATCGAAACGTCTGACATTTCACATAAATAAATATTCATTGACTTTGTTAAATCTATTCACATCCTGAGTTTTCACTAAGAGCCACCTTTCCAGCTTGTAGATTTGAACCATCATTCAAAAAGTTAACTCTGTTCTCCTCGCTACATTTTACGGTAGTGAATACTTCCCAGATAAGCCTTGACAACCCATTCCGGCAAAATTACTCACCACGCCCCACCCCTCTCTAGTGTAAAATGCTCCTGAAAGGAGCTTAGTTACGGCAACAGTGTCGAGGATACAGCAAGTTTGGAGTGAATATCCTTATTACAGCCTATAGGCCACTAACACTAATCTAAGTCATCAAAATACAATTAGTGACAAATGATTGGAGATTGGGTGAAAGATCACTGTACTCACGACAACACCTGCCACCCTTGAGATCAACACCACAGCCGACTGTTCAAGTGAACAGGAGATTCATTTGATCAGCATTAGTGACATTCTGCACTCCACAACCCCTAAGGCTGTGTCTCAACTTTGCCTATGAAATATTAATTCTGACTTTCCGCAGTTATTACTGCATCCATAATGACCTACCGCTATTCTCTACCCAAGATGGGTATTGGCAAATGCGTTCCTTTAATGAAATTGACTGCCACTGAGGAGAGCGAAATTTGGTTTATTAAATCGCTGCCCCATTTAACAGAGTTCTCCATAGAACAATAAAAAGATGCCTTCTTTTTTGGGGGACGGGATGGGGG